ATTAATTACATACTAAATAAAAAGGCGTATGACTAACTTATGGTTTTCTAGGGAGTGTGGGTGAGGGCGTGGCTGTGGCCGTTTATTCGTTTAGAAAATCATAGATCTTTTCGTAAAAGTTCAACAAGAAAATGAAAGACTATTACGAAACATGTAGAACTACTTGTGTTACTTTCTACATAGTTGATCAAAGGAACCTATAAAATCGTGTTCTTTAGAATGATGAAACATGTTATTTTATTCAATGAAATAAAATTTGATCTGGAATTCTAAATTCAACTAATCTTACTGTTAATAGAGCGTATCCTCAGAAAAGTTTATGTGAATAACTCTTAAGCAATTTAAATGATTTAATTGCTTATCTTTCTAATATATGAAAGTATATTCGTTTAAGTTTTATTTCATATAATTTGACTTGCATCAAATTTTCGAAAGAATTATCATCAACTGAAATATATAAATCCATCATAGTTCGAAATCTATAAAAAAAAAATACTGCAGAAAGTTAATTTTTTTGAAATTAATTTATTTCGACTATCGATTCTTATTTTAAATTCAACTAAATGATTAGTATGAGTTTAAGACAAGCACGTTAGGTATACATTATTTGTTAATTGAGACAACGGATCATAAAAATGAACTTTTATTACATTATCATGACGTTTTAATTTTCACTAAATCTATTTTAGACGAGTTTAACGATACTTGAAGTTAAATTTCAATATTAAAAATTGAGGTTTAATACTGCATTAGAAGAATAAGTAATGTTTACCGTTGTGGTCAAAAATAACTACCTTTCTCTCTCGAATCCGTAGGTTAATTATAAGCTGAATAATGCTTCTATGAATGATATATTTTCAACTTTTTTGGCATCGATAATTTACACTTTGTTGAGTACATATTGATATTTTTTTTCCATTAGAAACCTTGTGCCTTACCATTCATCTGATTATTCATATCGAAATAGGCATTCTCTATATGATTCGTTCCAGTTATACAAGTGGCAATTTTTTCGGAACTCAATGATGGAATTATAATTTTCTTTTTTTCCTTTAAATGTAATGAATCTATATCATACTCAATTATTTAAATTCATTCTATTATGTAATGGAATATTATTCACAAGTTGACATACAAAAGAGATCTGAGATATCGTATTCGTACAATGTTTAATGTTCCTATAAATGGCAGAAATTTTAGTTCATTTTATTAGAATTTTCATGTAAAGAGAGAATCGAAGGTAGGTTTTTTTTTGTTTTGATTTATTATTTGTAATGAAATTTCCATTAAAACTAACCGACATATTTTTCATCACAAAACACTCTGTTTTAATGATAAAATTTGCAGATAAATTTTCAATACTAGTTTCAACAACATATACATTAATTATTTTTAGCTTAAATCTAATTTAAAAAAGAAAAACTAACTATATAGTAAGGTATTTTATATTGAATATTTTTTCAAACGAGAAGTTTATTGCTTTAATACTTAAAAAAAAATCATACATATTCTACAAAAAAAATTCATATGAAACAATAAAAAATAAATAAATCTTATGTCATTTAGAAAATATAATCAATTTTGTTCTTATGTATCAATATCAAGTTGTATGTCATTGTTTTGACCAAGTGTCCATGTTCTTCTACCAACATTACTTAATTGAACGAGTTTCTCTTTTATCCATGTCCAATCAACATCTTGTAAACTTAATTGATTAACTTGAAAATTCGAACATCGTGTTGGAAAAATAGAAAGTGATCGAAGACGAATTGATTTCAATCTTCCATCTTGTGAAGGTAAAGGTGATATTGATAGATGTAATTGAAATAATGCGCCAAGATCATTTCGATATTGATGATCAATTGCATAATCATCAAGAAAATCACCACAACCATATAATATTAAACCATGAGTACCATTTTTACGTTGAACAATTTCTATACCTTGTACATGATGACTTGAATGTCCATGTATAAGATCAACTCCTTGATGTATCATCCATCGAGCAAGTTCTTGAATTTTCTTATCTGGTATCCATTGATAATTTGGACCCCAATGAACAGAAAATATAACGAAATCAGAATTCAAACGAGCAGTAGTTATGAGAGGTTCAAGGTGAGCATAAAGTGATGGAAGATCATAATGTGCAATAAGATGAAATGAAGGAACAGTAAACCAATCTGATGGATGATCAGATGCTGAAAGTAAACCAATTCTGAGTGATGTCGATGAACGAGATGTCGTTCCATTGATCGATACAGGTGGTAGTTTTTCATCAATCGATGAAAATGTTATAGGTACATCAAGAAAAACTGGACCAAGAGCATGTTCACTTGTTTTACCTGCACCTATTTATGAACAAACGAGAAAAATGTCGAAATATAAATCAAAAAAAAGAAAAAACAGGACTAACCAACATAAGATATACCAGATCTATCTAAACTTTCACATGTTTCTTCAAGTCCTTTTACTTCAAAGTCTAAAGTATGATTATTAGCAAGAGAAGCATGATGAATATTTGCCGTTGTTAAGCAAGCTATATTTGCAGGATGAGTACGATAACTAAAAGAAATAAAATTTTTCAAATTATAATATCAACATAAATAACATACTTGAAAACTTTACCAGGCCAAGGTTTATCATGAGTAGTTGCAGATGTTTCCAAATTAATAATATTTAAATTTCCCTATTAAACAACGTTTATAATTTTTTTTTTTGAAAATACTAATAAGATATATTTTTACCATTTTCCACAATGGAATTGTATTTCCCCAAACGGTTACATAATTATATTTACCTTCTTGTAAATAAGGACAACGTGAACTTCGAGATGATCGAAATTGACGGATGATAGCTGCTTCTTCAGGATTATTAACAGAAGTTGGAAGTAGTTGATCAATTAAACGACCTTTAATAGGATTTAATAGAGAAGTCAAAAACAAAAAAAAACTTAATTTTCCAAGTTCTTACCAATCATAACATCACCAACTAAATTAATAACAATTTTTCCTTGTTGATCTGTTGCCATTGTAG